CGCTTGAAAAATCCATTCAAGCGGATCTGAGCCATCAAAGGTCTGGAGGTGAATTTTTGGGGGACGAGGGATATAGGTATTATTGTGAGAAAATGGGTTATGGTGGGGAGGGGTTGAATCTGATGAAGAGGATGGTGAACGGGTAGCTAGACGTTGTTGGAGATCGACAACAGTAGATGAGAGGTGGTCATGGCGAGCCTCCATGGTGAGTTGGAACTCAGCCATTTTGGCCACGAGCATGACTTCAACACGAGAGACAAGGTCATCAGCGTTGATTTGGTTCTTAGGAGGCATGGTAACGGAATGAAAGCACCAAAATGATACGTGAAAAAGTAGGTAAAGAAATATCCCTTTTCGAGATGGGACAGGTCTCCAGAGAATAACAAAATTCAAATGATTGTATCACCACTTTTTTTCCTCCCCTCGTTTCCATCATAATCAGTCTTAAATATTCTGAGTTAAGTGGGCCCAAAACAAATAAAATGGAAATAACTATTAAAATAAATAAATCTATTTGGTAACAAACTCGGTCATCCAATTTGGGGCTTTCCTGATCCTTTTGGGCTTGTTTGCTCCTTCAACAGCACTTGGCCCAATAATTTCTTCTTCGATTGGTGGTTCAGTCTTAAACACGAGAGACAAGGTCATCAACGTTGATTTGGTTCTTAGGAGACATGGTAACGGAATGAAAGCACCAAAATGATACGTGAAAAAGTAGGTAAAGAAATATCCATTTTCGAGATGGGACAAGTCTCCAGAGAATAACGGAATTCAAATGATTGTATCACAACTTTTTTCCTCCCCTCGTTTCCATCATAATCATTCTTAAATATTCTGAGTTAAGTGGGCCCAAAACAAATGAAATGAAAATAACTATTATAATAAATAAATCTATTTAGTAACAAACTCGGTCATCCAATTTGGGGCTTTCCTGATCCTTTTGAGCTTGTTTGCTCCTTCAACAACACTTGGCCCAATAATTTCTTCTTCGATTGGTGGTTCGAGTATCAAATACAATTATTTTAACCACATTAATAAGACACAATTGAGTATCATTTTCTTATTTTTAAAATTAAATATATTTATTATTAATTAATTAATTAATAATAATATTTTTTATATAAAAAAGAAAAATAATAAAAATTATTGTCATTATCATAATAAGTTACATTGAAAATTATCAATATAAATACAATATATATTAGAGAGTATAAAATAAATAATTATTACAATGTAAGTAATATGAGATAATAAAAATTAGAATATATTATATTTTTTTACTAAAATCGGTTTCCAAAAAAATTAGTCAATTTTTTTAATTTTGTTTCGATTTTTTAGTTTAATTAAAATTTGGTTATTTGAAAGTAATAAACTGATTGTTGAATAAATCAGTTATATATTCTCGTTTCGAAACAATAATTTTAAATGAACTCAACTAATTATATTTTACATTGAAAGAGTTTATGACTAGAGAGTAATTTATAATTTAAAAATAAAATAATATGAAATGGAAGGGAAATGTTGAAATTAAGGAAAGTTATAGGGGGTTTTAAAGAATTAGAAGCTAAGGTCCCCACTCGTCTCGTCAAAAGCTCCACTTAGCAATATCCTTATGCATTGATGTTTACGTCCTCAAATATTACCAACCACAGAGCCTAAAGTAGGGTTCCATATTACCTTGTTTCTTTCTGCTTTCTCATCCATCGTGATAACAACACATGCAATTTGACTGTTAACTTATCATTTCATTCTCTTTTTTTTGAAAATGAATTATCAGCACATCTCTTCACTCACACCTAACATCTCTCAAAATTTCAAACCCATTTGGTGTCAACGTTTCTTCTTACAGAAACAAAAATTGCAAGTTCATGCTTGTGAACAACTCAAAAGGAAAATGGTTACCTTCACAATAATTTATTTATACCGCATACATTGACTATTGAGACGTAAGTTCCTAGCTAACTCTTCATTAATACAAATATCGCCTTAAACTTTATCTCATGTTTTTTTGAAAAATATTTATATCTTGAAATAACTGAAGAAATCATCGAAATTGAAGTTTTGAAAATTGATCGCTTTATTTTGTGGAAGTGCAGAGGCTAAAAGCTATATATTCTACATTCGAAAGGCCATGCACGCTTGTGGAAAAGAACATGGATACAAATGTATGCTCATGATCACTTCCAGGTTTATCTTCTTTTAGAATCTGTTTTTTTTTCTTTCATTTATTTTTTATACAAAAATTTTATGTCGATTAGGATAAGGATGGTACGGTTAATGAAACTATGAAACTGCTCATTGAGAAATGAAATTTTAATGCACTATTGTAATTTGATTATTATATTTTGTAGTTAAATTAATTTGATTCTTTATATTCCTCAATCATATATATACTTCAAATTTCTCCCTTCAAATTTATTCTTCTTTTCTCATTTTTTATGTAGAAAAATTGCACCAATGAATTGATTGTATAATACAAAGTTTCTTGAGTCGGATAATAAGAATTCTTATTTTGAAAATCAGATTAAACCGATCTATTTAATCGGATGAATGAAAAATCGTACTAGAAATCGGTGTTGATTTTAAATAATCGGATTTTAATTAAATCAAAGTAAAATTAAAAAAAACTGTACAAAAGACTTTTGGCTACGACATGTTTTGATAAAAAAATTAGGATTAAATATTTTGAATATAATTTTTTTTATAAAATATATAATATATTTTATAATCCATATCCAATTCAATAATGAGTCCGATTATAAAAAAAGATGGATAATGATTTAAACGATGCTAGGGTCATTAATATGAATTTGAAAATTTGAGGCAGGGGTCTAGAAAAAGCGAAAAGTTAAAAATAGTTTTTACAGTCTTTGCATTTTCACTCTTTTTCTTTGTTTGCTTTTATAACGAATTCTATTAAGAGTAGCTGTCAAACAAAATGGTTTTCGAGAGAATGAGTAATCGTGGCTTGAATTCCGAGCATCTTCATCCACGATCGGATCTTAAGCTTTTGGAAACAATTTTAAAATTCACAAGCAAAACAAAAAAAACTCTTCAATGCAAGTGGGTAATCAAGTATAGATTATTATTCGGCTATTACTCAGTTTTTTATTATCATTATTTAAATCTGTTTCAAAAAGGCTTCTATAAAAAAAAATAAAGAAATAAAATTAAATAATCTTTCCTATATAAACTAAATTATCTTATTTTTTATTTATGCATCTACAATAATATATAAAGGAGATTTTTTAATAATTTTTTTACGTAATCAGATAATAAAAAATATAATCTATATTTATTAGTGAAAACACAAGCTTTAAAGCGCTTATATATTCACAATCTTTTTTAATAATTAGTTCTTTTAAAATATTATTTTATTTTTTCTTTTCACTATTTAAACATATCTATTTTTTTCTCTTTCTCATATTTTTCCTATTTTTTAAATATATACAAATCATAATAATTATATTACTTTAAATTATAACATTTTCTTTTCGATAACACAAAAACAAATTACAAAAAGAATCCCTTTGTATATAATTATAGATGTTATATATTTTTCCTCTGCTTCTCTTAATCATATTTGGCTCTCAATTTTTTTCTCTTGAATATAAAATAATAAATAAAAATAAAAAATATCATTTTTTATAATCCCTTAATTACATATTCTCTCTCTTTTTTAAAATTCTATATTACATTTATTTGTCTTCCACAATTCATAATTTCGTAAATAAATATTACAAATTTATCTAGTACAAGACGGGCATGCATGGTATTACAAATTACACAAAAATAAAGATTAATGATGAACTTGTATGTGTAAAAGTAGGTGATTACATTGCTTAAATAAACAATTATTAGGTTAATATTATATTTTTAATCACACTTAAAATTTATAAATATATCTAAATCAGGCTTTTTTTTTATTTCATAAATCTTGTTTATATTTGTATAATTAAAAAAAATTAAGAATAAAAATCTGTAGTTAAAACTCTTAACAAAATAAATATTTGGTACGATTAACGTTGTTAATGGATACAATATTTCCACCACCCTAATGACGATGTATATATATAAAGGAAAGACAAGAAGTTATTTAGTTATGCAGATATTGTTTAACTCCCTGCAAGATTAATTAGAAAAGATAGAATTAATTAAATTTGTAGATAAGGAGTGGTTAATCACGTAACCGATCCCCGTGGATCTTATTCCAATGAGCTTACTGCGAAGATCAAACCTAAAAAACAAAAAATTCTGTCAAATATATGATTGAGAACTTTTCCTTGGTAATGACATAAAGCCAATGCTTTCTATTATTACCAATGTAGCTGATAGGCCATAGTTGGGTTCGTACTATAATAATTATGCTAAAAAGGGTGTCGTACCACGAAATGCCCCATGCATACATAAACGACCAAATATGAGATTATGTGCATAATGCATGGAGCAAGCAAAGATTGTTGAATTCATGTAGTATATATACAAGAGATAGTGTGGACCAAATATTTCAGTTCATAATATTATCCATCATTATCATTGCATGATCAGGGTCTCCCTCATGATGCCCCCAAAAGCTATCTATCTATGCATACACAATTTAATAAAGTGTATCTCTCTTTGGAGTGTAATAAACTATATATACGTGCTCAATATAGTAATCAAGGTTGGAATGTTAAAGAGAGAGAGAGAGAGAGAGAGAGAGAGAGAGAGAGAGGGAGTGAGGTGTCTTTTGACAAAGGAAGGTCTGCATGTTGGAATAATAGGGTAGCTTTATTTTATTTTATTTTGTAAAGAAAATTCACATATTGAATACATTCTTTTAAGTAATGCTAGCTCCTTCCATTGTGCTTTATACCTGAGGAGGTAACCAAAGCCGTTCACACTCCTCTCTCTTCTTCAAAACGCACCCTATTCTCCCCTATTTTGCATCGCATTTGTTCTTGAATCTCTTTCGTATTCCTCCTCAGAGCCTCTCATCAGAGAGAGAGAGAAAGTGAGAGATGGAGAGAATGTTCCCTCCCAAGAAGCCCTCAACTATGAATTCCCATGACAGACCCATGTGTGTTCAAGGAGACTCGGGTCTTGTCCTCACCACTGACCCCAAACCTCGCCTCCGTTGGACTGTTGAACTCCATGAACGCTTTGTTGATGCTGTTACTCAGCTTGGAGGCCCTGATAGTACTCCTCTCTCCCTTTCTGATAGCACCTTTCCTCTAACACTTCCTTCTTTTGCTTTTTTTTTTTGTTTTTGTTTTTAATATTAGCTAACTTAAATACTATAACCCTTTTCTTATATTTCTCACATGAAAGATATATGTGGTTTCTGGTAATATGCTCTATGCACATCTATGTTTGGTATGATGCTATGATCTCAATGATAATTAGAGTAATCATATTTTTGTGTCTTTTGAATTTGCAGAGGCCACTCCTAAAACCATCATGAGGGTTATGGGTGTGAAGGGTCTCACCCTTTACCACCTCAAGAGCCATCTTCAGGTTTGATCAATACAAAACCATATTTCATGCTTTTAATTTTGCTTTATGTTTTGGGAACACTTTTATGACACTGCCAATGTCTCGTGTTGGCTCGATGTTTCTCTTTCTTTTCGTTTTTTCTTTATCTTTATTATTTTTCATTTGTTGTCTGCATTTAGAAATTTAGGCTTGGCAAGCAGCCCCACAAGGAATTCAATGATCACTCGATTAAAGATGGTATGAGAGGTGACTCTTCTTTCTAGGGTTCCTCAATGTTTTTTTGGTCTGAACTTTTCTGATCTTTACACTTCATGATAGTTCTTTTTATATTGACTAAATCTTTTTGCACTGACATGCAGCTTCGGCTTTAGAACTGCAACGAAATACTGCTACCTCTTCTGCCATGATAGGCCGCAACATGAATGAGTATGCCTCATTTCTCTCATCTTAATCTGTTGAGTCAACTTGCATGCAAAAGATTTTGAACAGAATAATTTTCCACCTTCGCCTGAGTTTTTCTTTTGATTCTTTGCGGGGCCGTGGGGGGATTCGGGTTTTCTTGTGGAATGTATGTGTGAACACTGTATGAAACAGTAACTCACACATGATTGATGCGATTAGGATGCAAATAGAGGTGCAGAGAAGATTGCATGAGCAACTTGAGGTAATTATAATTCTACTATCCTTGCAGAATGCTTAAATAAGTGCATGTTTGGTTCAACTTATTTTGAGGAAATAATGGTTTATTTTCACTAAGAAAGATTTTTGAAAATTAATCATTATTCCCTCTAAAATGCACTTATTTGTGTCTCCAAGTCTCTATCTGCAGTGAACATATATATGTCTGTGCATGGATTTAGGTGTATGTATCTGGCAGGTTCAAAAACACCTTCAGCTAAGGATTGAGGCTCAAGGGAAATACATGCAGAGCATATTGGAGAAGGCTTATCAAACACTTGCTGGTGAAAACATGGCATCTGCTGCCACTAACTTAAAGGGTTCTATTGTACCTCATCAAAGCATCCCTGATATGGGAGTGTTGAAGGAGTTTGGTTCCCCTCTTGGTTTTTCTTCTTTTCAAGATCTTGAGAATATTTATGGCGGTGACCAAATTGACCTTCAGCACAACATGGAGAAACCAACCCTTGATCATGGGTTTATGCCAATCAATGAGAGTTTGTGTCTGGGGAAGAAGAGGTCCAACCCTTATAGTGGGAGTGGGAAGAGCCCTTTGATTTGGAGTGATGATCTCAGGCTTCAAGATCTGGGAGGGCCAGCCTCATCTTGCCTTGGCCCTCAAGATGACCCTTTCAAAGGTGACCAGATTCAGATTACACCACCAGGATCATTGGATAGAGGCAGCACTGACATTGATCCCATGTCAGAGATCTATGACTCAAAGCCTGTGCTTCAGGGTGAAGCTGTAGTGGGGGAAAAAAAGTTTGATGCATCTATGAAGCTTGAAAGGCCATCACCAAGAAGAGCACCTCTTCAGGCTGAAAGGATGAGTCCTATGATCAGTACTGGTACCATGGCACAAGGTAGAGGCTCACCATTTGGTTGAGTAAGAATCATAGTTTTAATTAGATCATTTGGTTATGTTATATGTAATTGATGACTTGATGTGAAACTCTTAATAGTACCATCTCTAGGGTTTTTCAATTTGGTCTTGGAAATTAGCAGTTCTTACGAGGGTTATTTCCTCCCTCAAGCACTGTTATGTGGTATAATGCCTTTTGCATGGCAAATTAAACCAAAGTCTTATTCTGACAAATATAATTAAAGCACGTATGAATGTGCTTGAATGTGAGCATTCTCACTTGTATCTTTTACATTTTGCAATGTTCCATTGCTTTTGTGACTGGTTTAATGTTGAATTTTGTTAACAATTTTATTAATTCATCTTCTGCTGATGATCACTTGTTAGATCTGCATGTGTTGTTCCGATCAATAAGAAAAACAGGAAGCAAGCAATAAACTTTTCTTCTTTTTATCACATTCATGGTTTCTCTTTCTATCTTATTCCTTCTTGGAGCCACTTTTCATTTTTTTAGTCTGACATCATATATGAAACATTCTATGCGTCACTATTAAGCAATTTTTTTCCTAGAATACTTTTACTTTGTTTCGAGAGGTGACACGTGGTACGTTAATATTCACATAGAAAAGCTCTATCAAAGTTGCCTCCAGTTCCTGTAATAATCATCTATGACAAGCAAATCTTATAACGGAAGTGATTTACTGGGACATTGATACCATGAGATCAATCAGAGAGAGGGACAACTAATGAAACTAAATAATATTTTCTTATCAGATAAAGATAAGTTATATTATAGAAGAAGAACAAGAGGGAAATTCAACCAATACATATTTATGACATTTATTGGTATTGATAAAATCAATTTGGACTTATCTGGGGTTTTTTTGGTGACTTTGCTAATATATATATATATATATATATATATATATATATATATATATATATATATATATATATATATATATATATATATATATATATATATATATATATATAAATCATCACTTAACCGTTAACGATTACTAAATAATTAGAAGTTAGTTGATATAATAGTTAGTTAGTTACCTAATGATTGAAGCAAAATCTCTCGGGAAAAATGAAAAACAACCGAAACAGGTTTGATTTTAACTTATTTTTAACGAAAGAAAGACAAATCTTGGTCTCCAGGCATATATAACACGGAATTTAGAAAGATAGAGCAGTGAAGGAGAAAGGTAAAAGAGAGAATAATCAACTTTAAAATGCTAAGTCATTTTCAAGTGTATGGAGGTACACTGCCAGATGATCCTTTCTCTTCAAGTTCCTAAGGCGATGAGTTGAAGCCGACAGAGAGTATCTGTCTTTCACTATCTTTCCTCTTCTTTACTGCTCTATATTCCCTCAGAATAAGATGATCAAGACAACAAGGGTTCATCTTATCTCACAAGATTTCACTTGGACACTTCCACCTTTTTTTTTTCTCTGTCTAAGAATTTTAACCTTTATTATTAGTTACACAAGGAAACCAATAGTAAATACAACCTATAGTAGAAATAGCTACAGAACCTTAGTATTATACAAAATTGAGGGAATATATGATGTTGATGCAGGTGCAACATAGCCATAGAAAGCATCAAAACCTTAAAAGCCAGTGGAGTTGATGACTGCAATTTGAAACTGTGGAACTAGTCTCTAGTATGTATTTTTCATATTAATTTTACTAACTCAGTAATTCTTATGTAACCAAAAGAGGAAAGAAATAAAGAAAGAGGGACAATCCTTTTGCTGGTGTTGCTGCTTTAGACAATGTGTAGCAATCTTTTGGTACATTTTATTCGTAGATATATGAAGACCCTATATGTAGCCATGCCTTCCAGAGTGTTAATCCTTACTTTAAAAGAAGTATAATCCATATATACACAAGCACACACACATGCACAAACCTTCTCCCTGTCTCATTTCTCTCTGTGTCGCTCTTTATCTGATATTTACAATGTGACTATGTGAGAATAGATCCATGAACATGAAGCTTCCCTTTCCCAAGGATTAAAAAAAGGGTGGCGCCACAACCTTTATTGGTTGCAGAGAAATTTTATGCACCTGCAAGTTGGCAAGAAAGCTCCCTTACTCCACTAGTGTAGTACTCAGAGTGAGAAAGAGAGAGAGAGAGAGAAGGAAAGAGGAAAAGCTAATAAAGCCTAAAGGGTAGGAAGAATACAACGCACTTCCATGCGTGCACATATCGAGGAAGCTTCTATCTTTATGTGCACAAAGTTAAGAGTCTCAACATTTAAAGCTGAAGGATGATGCATCATCAAATGTACCCTACCTTCATTTTTTTTTATACATTGCTTTCTACATTTTAAATTCTTTGTCACCACGACGAGTTTTAAATTGTTCCAAAATTTTATTACTTTAAAATCAATAAAACACTATTTTTTTAATGATATCTTTACACACTAATAAATGTATAATTACACTCATTCTTTTAGTGTTCTAAAGAAATTTGACTGTTTTGACACGAATTAATGTGCAATTTTACGATGGATAATACCATTATTTTAAAGCATGGCCTACTAATTTTGATTTAGGAAACAACTCTCATATAACTGACACACAGTGTTCTCTTTCTGATGAACGTAAGGTAGTTGAGCAGTCAAGCATGCACGTTCTTCCATGCACATGTAAATCATTAGCAGTTGAATAGAAGCACTTTGTGTTCTGTTTACTATCCCATTCACAGCTTTGGGTCTCGTAAAAAATTCCCTATGATTCTCTAACAAAGTAAAGCACAGAACCTTCTTTTGTCCCCACACCCCTTCCCTTCCCCCTCACAAACACTCAATAGTTTCCGAGAAAACCAGTCATAGGATAAGCAGGCAAGAAACATTCACTCTTTTTTGCTCTTTATTTTTTAGTGGAAAAGAAACCAAACAAAGAAACAGGCACACAATATCTTGCCCTAGCTAGATCTATGAAACATTAGTTTTTCTAGTGCTTTGTCTCACCGCAAACATTGTCTAGTTGTTGGCCAATTGCAGGCTTCAGGTTATTGAATTGAAAATGATATGTTGGGGGGGGTTTATTAGGTAAATATTATACAGCATGATATTATATGCTTTAATGAAAAGCAAAAGGAACAAGACAAGGAAACAACTTTTGATTAAGGGCATTGATTATCTTAATCATTTGTCTTAAGATTTTCTTTTCTTCAGCTTATATTTCCTCCCTTTTTCTCCTTACTATTCTTTCGGTCAAGTTGGCTTTTAAGTTGTTTCAATTTTCAAGTACTGTCCAACGTGACTTAATTTTTAGGGACCAGAAACCTTCATACATGCATGCGAAGTACATTTGTCATATTAAGAAAGGAATTTGGAGAAAGCTTGCTCCGAGATTGTTGTTTCGTGTTCATTGTGATTGTGAATATATTAATTAATTAACTAAATCCAATGCTGATTACCATTGCCTTTATATGCCTTTGCTTTGTTCACAAGCAAAGCAATGTAGGTTTTTTTTTGGCCTAGGAGGTAAAACCAGGAAGAACCGACATTTCCTACACAGTGGGAAAGTTTAAGTAACCTTATCAAATTTACACTTATAGACTACACAAATGCACTGATGGATCTATTAAAAATTTGACCATATGTGTTACTTTACCTCGTTCGTTTGATGGGTAGAATGAAGTTGTTCCGAATACTTAGAAACAAGAGATTATTCCATCTATATTCGTCCAATGTATTAATTAATTAAGAAAAAAATAATATATATATATATATATATATAAATTATCTTTAATCTTAAATGTATCAATCCATACATAAATTTAATATATATATATATATATATATATATATATATTTACAATAAGAATGATAAATCTTCTTCATCATTAATTTTAAAAAAGTCAAATAATATATTATTAATAAATAATAAATAAAAAAAATTAAATTTATAAATATACAAATATATATTTAATAATTATTAAATTTTGATATCATTCTTATTTTAGCACAAGAAGAAACATTGGAATGTAACCCATGTTTAATTTTGTCCGCCATTCTATTTAGCACTTTTATCTCCTAAACTCAGAGGTAATATGTTAAATGTGTATTAGGTAACCTTATTTTGGGAAAAAAATTATTTTCTTGGTATCAAGCAATTTAAAAAAAAATAAGTGTTTATTTTACAAAGATAATTTAGAACTAAACACGTAATATAGGATATTCTGTAAGAATATTTTTAATTATGGTTAATTAATTCAAAAATAGCAATTAATTAGTAGAGGTTATTTTATATAATTTCTTCACATTTTTATTTCAAAATAGTTTTAATTTATGAAAAAATCAATTTAATTTCTTTTATCTACGAGTTCTTATGAAGAAATTAGTTCAAATATGTGATAAATTTGATTAATTTACGGTAAAAATTGAAGTTGAATAAATGTTATATATTTTCTTTGATAAAATGGAATGGTCATTATCACAATAAGGAAGAACATTATACTTTTCTAAGAGTTTGCTTTGGATGTCAAGAAAGAAAATTAACGAAATATGACTCTATTGCAAGGTCGCTTTCCATATTCATGTTTCTTCTTCTTCTTCTCCATTTGTTTGTATGTTAAAAATTTTCGAAGACTATTGTAGGAAATGAATAATAAAGATAAATCTCCATTCATCTTAAACTAGAGAAATTTTGGACCAAAACTAACAGGCCCTTTGTTTATATGTACAATGAAATAATTATTATAAATTTACACCGAAGAAAGTGAAAATAAAATCTGTGCAACATTAAAGTATTTTTCGTGATAATTATATATCAATACACATCCTTTTAAAATATAAAATTTTAATTTTTAAAAATTGCTTTAAGCAATTAATATTTTTAATAAACAATTAGATATGCTCTTCTTAAAGTTGCAAATTTGATGAAAATTAGATTTAATAACAGATAGATTTTATTATAATGATTGAGAAATTACATTTTTCGATAAAAGGTCTTCACTGAAATGGTAGTCCAGATGCCTCGGTGAATTCTGCATAAAAACAATCGCAAATTAGAGGTCTTCTTATTCTCATTTTTCATATTGTAATATTCTATTCTTCAAAATCATTCTTAATAATTTATTATTTTTTTACAATAAATATTATTCCATATATAAACAAAAACAAGACTGTCATGATTAATATTAATTACTCACACACATCTTTTTAAAACTAAGGGATAGGATTCTAAAATTTTGTAACTCTATATAATTTATAATTTTAATCTCTCAAATATCATTTAATATATTTATTTATATATTTAAAATTTTATTTGTCAGTTTTGTAATTCTTTTATAATTTATAATTTTAATCTATAAATTTAATAATGATTTAATATATATTTATAATTTTATCTTCTTATTTTTATTTTTATTTTTAATATTTATTTATTATTTATTAATAATATATTATTTGATCCTAAAATGAATGATTAAGGTCCATCACCACTCACCTAGATATTTGTTAGGATAAAATTGTAAAAGATTAAAATTATAAGGGATTACAATTATAAGGGTCAATAATTTATCGAAAATGAAAATTGATGGTAATAATTATATAAAAAAAATGATGGGATCGAGACACTCTTTGTAAACCAAACAAATATAATATATATAATATGAAATTTTGAATGAAATGAAGAGTTACTGACTCCAACACTTGTAGCCAGCGGGAAAAGGCAGTTTACAGAAGCTGAAGCAGTGGCTGATTCTGGGCCAACTCAGGGTATCTCCCACTACAGCATTTGGAGGGAATAAAACTGTTCATAACCATGAAATTCAAATAAATTTAGAATAATTAGTGATGAAACAACATAGTAATGACAACAAGGATTAAGAATGAAAGATAAACTGAGAGGGAAAAAGAAAGAAAAAGTGGGAACACACCAACTTTCCGAGCGAGACTGTTGCACCAGCATGATAGTTTTTTATGTGCATCAGCAATGGCTTTACAGCACTGGGGATTCGGATCCAAAATTCTTGGATCGCTCTTCGTCATGTAATACGTGCACTCTATCTTCATCCCCAGTATTTCTGTCTCACATTCCTCTGCACCCACCATTAACACTGATAACACATTCACTACAACCACTGCCACTAACCAAAACGATTTCATATCACACTTTCTCATTCTCTCTTCTGCTTTTTCTTTCCCTTCTGTCTTTACACATCTTGCTTTCCAATGTGCGTTATATTTATTTACGTCACACACGAAATTTCAATGCCTGTAACGTCTGCATATTAAATGTGTATTAACAACAATTTATTACACAAATATACGTTTATACATAATGATAATACTAATAATTTATTATCTCTGATTTCGTTACTTTAGAGTCAAGAGGATGGATTTTAGAAGATAAAATACAATAAAAAATTATTAACTACAAAATCAACTGCTATAATTATAATTAATTTTAGATTTTGTTAGATGTATGTTTAATTTTATTAATAATAATAATTTTTTTTATATACCACTGGTATTAGAGCTTTCAACGACATTTAAAAAGTTTGTGGAATGTAAAATACAAATTATGATTCTTATTATTTATATATATACATATATATATATATATATATATTAAAATTAATTCATTAAATTTAAAATAAATAGAATATAATTTAAAGGAAGATGTTATTATTATTATTATTATAGATGATGAAAATGTTCAATAATATTATAATTTAAATGATGAATATGGTCGTCCTAAATTTTAGTGTAAATTATAATTTAAAAATAAATAAATTGAGAAGATATACGAAAACTTATTAATTTAGCATATATTTTGTATTTTTCACTTATAAATTTTGTTTGAATTTTGAAATCATTTATTGTCCGATAATTTATAATATATTTTCTTTCAATGATAAGTAACCGTAATACTTCATTAAAGTCAATATCTTCTTTCTCAACATATTTTTTAGTGTTAATCTAATAAGATATTATCTCCCTTAATCTCACTTTATTTCATAAATTCATTTATATTGAATGACTTTTCAAATTTTTGGAATTTCAAGGTTTTTATACTTTTTTTTAAATGAACAATTTTTTCTTACATTATTTTTATTCACAGAAAAACTTCTAAATAATTCATTTGAAGATTATCTATCTTCATTGGAAAGAAAATATATTATCATAACTGATGAAATTTTATAGAATTTTTATGTATAATAGTTTTTTACAAATGAAATATATTTTATGTAAATATGTATGTTCCGTTCACGTACTTAGCTATTAGTAAAAATATGATAAAATATTAAATATTGTTAAAAATATCTCAATTATAACTTTTTAAATCAAAATAATGATATAATATTTTTTCTCTTATTTTAAACAATAATAAAAATATCTTAAAATTTAATTTAAAATAAAAATTAATAAAATAATATTTTCAATATTCTTTTTTGTCATTTTCTTTCTATACATGATTATCATTACATTCAATTTCATTGCTTCATTTTTTATTTTTTCCTTTGTAATTAATTGCAACAAACTTTTTTCTAATATGATATTTCTTTTCATTAGACTTATTGTTTTCTACCGTGATAATATTCCATTTAAGTCCTAACATTTTAAAATTTATTTTCTTGATCTCATTTCGTTTGTCTCTCATCATTGCAACAAACTTTTTTCTAACATGATATTTCTTTTCATTAGACTTATTGTTTTCTACTGAGATAATATTCCATTTAAGTCCTAACATTTTAAAATTTATTTTCTTGATCTCATTTCGTTTGTCTTTCATCTACAAAATATAATATAGAGAAAACATTTTCTTCTTGTCTTTCTTGTTTTATTGTCTTTTAACACATATAAAACCATGGTAGGTTTAAACTCTTTTAATTTTTCCAGTTCAGCTTTAAGCTTCTTTATATGATTTTCGAGCTCTTTATCTTCCTATTTAAAGAGTCTTGTGTGTTTTTCTTTTTTTTTCTTTTTTTTTAAAGAGTTTTTCATTCTTCTCCTTCTCAAAACGCATTTGTTGTATTATTTTCTACATCTCTAACCATTCTTTCTTAAGTGATTGTTGTTTCTCAAAGATGTTGGTTATTGGAGTTTTCTTCTTCAAGACTCTTCTACTCCTTTTTTTATGTATTTCATATTATTATTTAAAATAGTCGCAAATATCTTTGAATGACTTTGATTATGATTCTAATGAGAATTATGAGTAAAGAAATACTTTTTTATAAATATTACTTTACTTTTATCTTCTTCATTTTTCTTTATTTCTAAATTTTGATTTGAGTTATGATGAGATTTTTAAGCAACATATGACTTATGTAATTCTTTTCCACGTCTTTCTATCGATCTAGTTCATCAAGATTGGATTAAATTCTTACAACCAATCTTTCGCTATCAAAAATTGAAATTAGAATTTATGAAATATTTTTTTTCATTATTCTCATAAGAATCAAAACTCTTGAAGATACTACTTCAAAAAAAAAATTAGAATTTTATGTATGTTTATTTTTTATATATATGAAATATATATGTCTTCATTTTTCGTTCATATATTTTATACTTTATATATATATATATATATATATATATATATAAATAATAAAATATCAAATATTAAAAATATTTTAATTATAATTATTTAAATTAAAATAACAATCTAATATTTTTTTCTTATTTTAAATAATAATAAAAATCTCTTAATCTCTAATTTAAATAAAAATAAAAATAATAATATTTACAGTAAATAACATACTGTGAGTGTCAAGTGCTTATTCAGGGTAAGAGTCCTCCTTCTAACTTGACTCTAGTTTCTTGTTACTGTTATAACTCAAAGAAGTCAAAGGCTTATTCTCTATTTGTATGATAATGTTCTTTATAAATTTTTTTTTAACAGCCTGTATTTTATTATAAAATATTTAAGAAGAAAATTGCCCTTATAATAAGATGTGTTGTATGGGCTAGTTTGTTATATAAGTGCGAGTTTGCGATAGTTAGCCCGTACAAACACATTTTAAAATAAAAAAAGTAATATATATTGTTATTTATGAGTACAGTGAATCCATATCGTGTTATACGTATAAAAGATACAAATATATTTTGTGTAATCAAAATCGATGGAATGTATAACATTTTATACGAGGTATTCCGTTTTAAAAGTTTAATTTATTATTATTTTATTTTAAAAACACTTCAATAAATTAATAAAAAAATATATTTAAATTATTCTTAATTTCAACTTTAAATAATATAATATTCATGAACTTATAAAAATATATATTATTTCAATTATGATTTTAACGGATATAGTAAGAAATATACTATTTTGATTATGACTATAATACAGCAGAAGGTAAACGAGTGAAAAAAAGAGAGACATAATCATATTAAAAATAACAACAACAAAACAATAATATAGAGAAAATATACAAATGTCAATAAAATAATTCTAAATATTTGATTAAGCTAAATCCAATCAGACAATAATATAATTAAAATCAAGTTTGAATAATCTAAACAAAACAAGAAAAAAAAAAAGTTGAATCAAACAAATTAACTAAAACAAACAAATATTAAAGGGTTTGATTTGCACGCAATCTTCTTGCGACTGATCACATCACCTCTCCTAATAAGCAGCGGCGTGATATAGTCTTAGGTTGGACAAGGATTCACAATCTTAGTTCATTTGTCTTCGTGCCAATAACCTTCAAAAGATGAACACTAACATAGACAACTGGCTTAAGCTCACTCGAAAAGACAATAATACACGACCTTATTAAGTATTATATAAAAGAAAACATTAACCGTATAAGATCAAATATTCATTATATAAACTTACATATTAATTATTTCAATTAAAGATTAATTTAATGAAAGTAAATCTCTTGGTGTGTTATTATGTTGCGTGTATTTCACTATAAATATTATCTATCATCTTTCCTTTCGTTTGCCTAACCTAGCTGCTGTTATGCCTTCCTTGCACACAACAGTGACTCGTTCCTCACAATCTTTTCTTTCTTCATCCCTTGTCTACCTTGCAACATTATTTTGTTTTTCTTTTTTACGCAACAATTTTCTCTACCACACTCAACAACTAATTGCTTGTAATCTTTGCCATTATTCACCTTCACAAATTCAACTACAATTTGGGTGTACCTGTTTGTATACCACGTGTTGTTTTAATTAATAGATCTTCTATTTTTTCTTTTTCTTTTTCAACAACTATCAACTTTTCTAAGAGTTCAAGTTAAACTATTGAAAAGGTAAAAATAAATAAAAAACAAACACCATTTATTTAGTTCTCAAAGTTCTATTGATTCTCTAGAGAAATAAAATGTGGCTCTCCTTAAACCATTTCAAAAAATGGGTTTGGTTTATCAGCCTTATGTTCCCTTACCACTCACGTCAAGGAGATGGGTCCAATCCTCAGTTCAGTGAAGGTGTGGGATGTGCGATTTATAAAAAGAATGGATAATGAGGTTTCACAAGTATTGATTCAATGAAAAAACACTAAAGTCAGCGATGCTACGTGGGAAGATTTTCAAATTATCCTCGATTTAACCTTGAGGACAATATTGTTTTTCATCGGAAGAGTAATGTAACATGCGTAAAGAAAGAGGAGAATTGCCGCCAAATTCGGTTAAGCAGGCAGGACACGTGTCAGTTGATTCATATGGGATGGAAGTCAGGAAAAAATGCACGGCTGAAGAAAGATAATATATTAATTGTTGAAAGATTACTCATGCGGAGGTGTCTACGTGAATTACTCTCTTACTTTTCTCTTTGAATTTCCCTCTTCTCTTTGAACCTTGGTTCGTTTTTGTCATTCTTTTTCTCTCCTAATTCCAATATGCAATCATTGATTTATCAGTGGATTTGTAGAGCTGAGTTGTGGCTACTGCAAGCTCGAGTGATGGATAATTTCTATGTTATATTTTCGTTGTTCATTTTATTATAATTGATGGAACACTGTTTGATTAATTCCAATGTCGTATTAATCCTCTGAGTCACGTTTCAGTTGCCTTGCCTCCTATATTTGTCTCTCCCATTGTTAAGCCATCAGTGACTTTGCCTCCCATTAGTGTCCCTTCCAAAGTGGTAAGCTCAATAACAACATGTATAAACACAAATTTACAATTTGTCTATTTACACACAGACAAATTGATCACTAA